TTGCTTGGGGCAGGGAAATCCTCAAATCACCTAATAGCTGAAAAGTCGCCCTGACACTATTCTCTTCTTATAAATCGAGACAGGGCTACAATCATGATTAGGATATACAGGTGCCCCACCAGGTAAGAACGCACATTTTCTTGACCTTCAATGTCTATGGATCAGTAGATTGACACTTGTAAAGTGATGATAATAATAGCACCAGTAAGAGCAAAAGTTTATATTGCACTTAATATCTACCAGGCATTATAAAGTTTTACACATATCATTCCATGTATTTACCATGAAAGACTTTGTGGGTAAGTATCATTACCTTTGTTTTATAGATGAAAAAACGGAGGCGCAGAAAAGTTATCTAATTTACACGAAGTCACACAGCTATTAAATGGCAGAGCTGAATTATTAATCTTGGCAGTCTGGCCTGGGAGTCTGTACTTGTAACCATGATCTGAATCAATGCTACAAACACGCACTGTCTACCTAGCATTACAGCAAAAGGTTGATTTGGTAAGTCCAATGAAAAGTAGTTGCTTGTTAGAATTAGCAATATAATTGTCAAGTTTGGGGGGAAATCTAAGTGGGGTTATGATCTTGTTATTTAAGATTTGAGAAAAATTCACATTCTCCCCCAAATAAAATAAAACAACAAACAGACATAAAACTGACTCTGCAGAGAGGAATGGGAGTTGGAGGGCTTGTATTATCCAGATTCTTGGATTCACAGAGTTGCAAGTCTCCTGCTTCAGCAGGCTCTTTAAATGGGACCAGGTCCTTGATCTGTCTGAAAGAGAATTTTTCAGTCTGTCATTAAGAGCCAAATCCTTCTCTTCTGCTCCTAAAGATATTTGTAATTTGTTTGTGATGTATTGAAATTTGTCTGGCTGTGGGAGAACTGCATCTTTAAAGTTCATTGCACTGCCTATTTCATTCTATTTGGGAAACTTTGTCTTCTTAAAAGATGTTTCTCTGAGAGAGCACATTTTCATCTGAAGTTTATGAATTAGCATGCCCAATACAGCACACAATTTATTCTATTATTTTCTTAATAAGGTACTTCGTGGACACGGCAGCTGGTTGTGGGTGTACAAAGATAGCTACAAAGCCCCTCAGACACTTGTTTGTATTTGACACCTTTGCTGGTGAATATCGGTTAAAATTGTGGTTTTAGGGAACTAGCCTCAAAAATTGATAGTACTAAAAAAAAAATTGATAGTACTAAAAGCTATTTTCTAACCAAACTGAAATACTTTTCTGTCATGTAATTAATATTTAAAAATGCGATTATTCCAGTTACTTATTTTGGCCAGAGACTCTTTCTAAATACACATATGACACTAATATGTTAAATATGTGTTATTTCACCTCTGTGCTATATATCTTCTATCGATCAGCCTCTTAGAGACATATAGGAGTGAATTATGCCTTAAAAAAATTAACATTTCTATCTACTTAAATTTTTTTTAATGGATTTTTTGAGAGAGGAAGGGAGAGGAAGAAATATCAATTGGCTGCTTCCTGCATGCCCCCTGCTGGGTACCAAGCCCAAAACCCAGGTATGTGCCCTGACTAGGAATCAAACTGGCAGCCTTCAGTGCACTGGATGACACCCCAACCGAGCCACACCGGCCAGGGCAACACGTTTACCTACTTAAAAAGTTCTTTTCTTCTACCTTCATTTCTCGCTTTATCTTGTTTTTCTCCCAGGCACCTTCTTTCTCAGTTTAACGTCTTGCCACATCTCTCTGTCAGAAATCCCTCTTTATTTTCCTTTTTTTGGGCCCTGGAGATTGGTAACAGTAGTGCTAGCGGTAGTGCTGAGTCCCAGCTCAGGTCCTAGCTGGGCTAGCATTGGCTGCGGGGAGAGATGAGAGTGGCTGTACAGCTTGACTAGTTTATTGTTTTTGAGTTGCACCAATGGGAGACGTCAAAGAAATAGAATATATTTTACTCGGTTTAATATGTCTCTGTAGAGGGCATCCTAATTTTACATGACATGGGAGGAGGCATATCTTTCCAATTCTTTCCCAATGGGCATGTCAGTAAAACAGGAATGCGTAAACATTTGAAAGACAGGGATTGTTATGACAGGACCTGCTGCAGTTATAGGGCATTATGGCCGGTACCTTTTAGCTTACGATGCTGCCGGAGATGAGAACTGATTTCTTGTGACTCTGATTTTATTAGTTTCCCATTGCTGTTGTAACAAATTACTGAAAACCCAGTGACTTAAACAATACAAACTTATTAATTACAGTTCTGATGATCAGAAGTCCTAAAATTCCACACATTCTCTGTACTTGATGCAGAGAATCTACTGGTTTTTGAAATCTCTGGGTATTGTGCCAACCCAACATACAAATCAAAGTTAATCCTCTGGATAAAGATCCTGGATCCACAGAATTCCAACTCTATCTCTCCACTAAGCTCTCACAGAGAGCTTGCCAGAGTTGTTAATGTACATGCTCACGGCCAATTTCCATCAAGCATAACATGAAAACACTTCATTATCAAATTTAATGTGTGACTTACTGTCACTATCAGCACAGAAAAAGGCCTTTTTACTAATATTTTTAAATTTTTAAATGTATTTTTATTGATTTCAGAGAGGAAGAGAGAGAGAGAAACATCAATGATGAGAAAGAATCCTTGATTGGCTACCTCCTGCATGCCCCCTACTGGGGATGGAGTCTGAAATCCAGCAGGTGCCCTTGACCGGAATTGAACCCGGGACCCTTTAGTCGCAGGCGGACACTCTATCCACTGAGCCAAACCGGCTAGGGCTCTACTGATATTTTAAAAGGGAGTTGTCTTGCCTTGCTCTTAAAGTTCTTCATTCTCTTTCTCTCCATAAAAGTGGTATGGAGAGTATGACTGGAAAGATGAACAATGAGGAAGGAGGAAGACATCAGGTGGTAACTTGAAAGATACACAGTTACACTCTAGGGACAATAGGACATATTGAAGAATTTAGGTAGATGAGGGCTAGGGAGAAGTCCAGGGTTATTACTGGGTATTTTGGCTTATTACAGAGTGGTGGAAAACAGAAGAGCAGGCTTTGGAGGTAAGATGCAGGCTAGTAAGTTGGAATTGCTTATGGGATATCAAAGTGGAGGAGGTAGACAGGCAAACTGGCTATGTGGATCTTAGGCTCAGGAGAGATTTGGGCTTTTATTATGGATTTATGAGTCATCCGTGTAAGGATGGTAATTGAGAGCACTACTGAAGAGAGTATACGGAGTTAAAAGAGATGATGGCATAAGATAGAGACCCGAGGAGCACCAACATTTAGAGGATTGGCAGAGGAAAAGCCTGCAAAGGAGACTGAGGAATGGTAAGAGAGGTCATTGGTAAATCAGAAAGAGGTGACATATTAAAGACTTTGTACCCATTCCTTGGGTGCTACTTTTGAAAACATGTTTAATTCACAATTCAATGTGACTTGAAAATTGTTTTCTCATATATAAAACGGGGCCAATAATTCCTTACTTGCATCACAGGGTTATGAGGTTCAAGTGAAAAATGTACTTGAAAATATTTATAAAGTGTTATACCAGTGGTCTATCAATGTGCATCAAAATCATTGCAAAGACAAAGATTACTGTGTTTCCGATTTCATAACAGCAGTAGTTTTAGATTCAGTAGATATGGGGTGGGGCCTCAGAAATTGAATTTTCCATAATTTCTCAACTGATGCTGATATTGCTGGTCTTGGGACCACCCTTTGAGAACTACTGTGTAAAACAAATGTAAGGAATTTTGCTTTTGATTTTATAGCAAAATTCACTAAGTTGTCCTCCACTGTTGTGTCTGTTTCATCCCCTAATCTTTTTTTTATTCCTGTATCTTCCATCAACAGCTGTTATTGAAACATATTTGCCCTGCTTCGTACCTAGTACCTAGCAATATGTTTCTGTACGTGAAAGGTTAGCTTAGTGCAGTATTTTGTTGATCATTTACTGGTACATAGCTTGATTAAGGATAGGAGAAATTTTTGGTATTTCTTTGGGTAGGAGCAGATAAGCAGAAACTTGGACTAAGAGGTGGGATTTATCCTCCCCCCACCCCCCCAGTTAATTAGATGCAGAATGCTACTTGTTACCTACTTCCAAAAATCCCATTAGAGAACTTGTAATTTGATCCAGAGGGAGCAGCAGGAGAGTCAGGTAAGAGGAAAAATTGACCTCATTCTTCAGTCTTTCCTAAATCCTGAGAAATGTGCACCTCAACGCTGCCTTTTCCAATCCCACAAAACACGGAATCAGGAAAACGCATTAGCACCCTAGTACAGACTAGGAACACAGAGCGGGGAGGCGACTCGGCTCGGTCAAGACAGAAGGAAACTGGGGGAGGGGAAAGAAAACTTCCCTAGGTGGGAGTCTGCAGCGGCCGCGGGAGGAGAAGGGGAGTGGGGCAGTGTACCTCGGGCGTCAGCCAGACACTCTGCCTCCGGGCATGTGGGAAACTGAGGGAGGAGGGAGAAAGGCTGCCCAGAGCGAGATTCCAGGAGCTTCTGCCACTGCTCTCCAGTGAAGATATGGAGAGCCAGAGCTTTCTGCTCCACTTCTCCCCGCCTGGAGGCCATTTCTCCAGATTTCACTGCGATAAGGAGGGAGCGCTGGGCAGGGTCAGTATAAGCCGGAGTGGCCGCCGAGCCCACAGTAGACCCGCTCCGGCCCTAGCCTAGGCGGGGGGATGGCCCTCGGGACGCTGAAGTTACTCCGTGGAGGGAGGGGTCATCAAGCTCCTCTCCAATCACTGCGGCCGCTCCACAATTTGCATATCTTACGCAAATGACCTCCGGCTCAGCTCCCCCGCCCCTTGGGCGCAGTGGGGGACAGCGCGGGCCGGACGAAGGTGAATACATGGGGATAATGTGGCGGCCTCGCTGGGTCT